GTAAAGAACATCGTTCAGGCAATGTCCGGACCCCGATTTCTTCGAAGCATTGAAGACGACTCGGACTTTGGTCGTTCTTTTTTCGGGTTTTATAACCGCGTGGTGTGGAAGGTAGAACGACCAATATTTGCCTTGAGAAGATATCTCGTGGGAAGTTGTTTCTTCCATATGGTTGAGAGTGAGATATTCGTTTAATACATTTTCGTAAAGTGATTTTAGATCGCCTTTTCTGAGCAAATTTCTTTCCATGCTCAGGCACTGTTGGAGGGCGGGAGTGCGAGACGATCCAAGGGAGATAGGGTCTGGGAAGCTTGGCTTAAAGGGCAGTCTGACTGCATAACGACCATCCGCTGCTCGTGTGGTGGTGGACTGATATAATTTTTCACAATTTTCATCATCAGGCGTAGTAGGCTTGGATTTCGGAACCTCTTCTAGCTCCCAAAACTTTCGCAGCTGGGAATCTAAAACCTCATTGGAGATCGGTGTAGCTTGAGTAGAGAAACAGGCTATTTTTTCGGGAAATTGGCCACTTAAGATGCAGCCGAATATGGTGTTTTGTGCAAGCAAATTTAATCAATGCCTTCCATCATATTTCAGGAATGAGGTCACTGCCAATGACCAGATCAATTTGGGACGGGGAGTGGCAATTAGTATCTGCTAGCAGGAGGTGAGACAATTTTTCTCGTTGTTCGAGAGTTGGCTGGAATTTTGGGAGCATTTTCGTTAACTGGGATAGTACTATTGCTTGAGCCTTTATTTTCGTGGTCAAATCTGCGGAGGCTAAGATGAGATGGCAAAGTTTGTTCGAAGTCTGAACAACTCTGCCTCCCATGCCAGAAATTTCAAAGTTAGAAGTTTGGTACGGTAGCCTTTGTTTGTTTTGAGCTTTGGAGGAAATAAAAGTTCGTTCCGAACCCTGATCTATGAGAGCTCTGAGTTTGAAGATTTCGCCCCTGTGTTCAACTGGCACCATTGCTGTGGGAAGGAGAATCTTGCTCTCATTTTCCGAGTAGAACGACTGTACTCTTGCTCTATTTGAGGAAGAAGGCTCCTCATGAGTTGTTTCCGACCCAGCTGAATTTTGTGGGTTGAATTTTGTGGGCGTCGTCAGAGCGACTTGAGATGTCGTTCTTTGGGTTCGAGACTGCTGTCTTGGCGGCATGGGGGGCGTGTCTTCATGAAGCATTGAGTGATGCCGTTCTTGACAATGGGAGCAAGTATATTTACTTGAGCAGTCTTTTATCAAGTGGGTCTGACATAGGCAATTAAAACAGAGGTTGTGTTCTCTCACAAACTTTCTGCGATCCTAAGTTGGCAGTTGACGAAACTTGGAGCACTGCACATTGGGCATTTGTATGAGGTGGGGGTTTAGGGAATGGCCTACTGTTAGGGGGGGTTGGCCTCGAGTAGCTTATGCTCGAAGGATTAGTCCGCGGATGGCTTGGGTGCACGAAATTGATCTACCCTTTCAACCACCTCGTATCGGGTAGTGAGGAACTGGTTCATTTGGGCCAGTTCGGGAGGTCTTTCCTGGAACTGAGGGATTGCTCCCATAGGGCCACGGTGTTTTCACTAAGCTTCGAGGTAACCAGGTAGATCAGAATGTGATCCCAGCTTTCGGTGGAGACTTGCTGGGTGCCTAGAATCTGGAGACAGTTATTCACCGATGATTGCAGTCTCTGTATGTCTTCTCTATTTTCTATTGGGATGGGTTTTAGATTCATAAGGATGCGGATTTGGTTATCTAGTAAAACCCGTTTGTTTTCATAGCGAGCTTTTAGTGCTTCCCATGCCAGCTCGAAATTATCGTCACTCAGAGGGAATTGTTTAACTATTTGGGCAGCTTTTCCTTGCGTTTTGTACCTGAGATGGTATAACTTCTGCGCCTTAGGGTGATTTATATAGACCGCCGTGAACATATCACGGAAGGACGGCCATTGCTCATAACCCCAAAAAAAGGTTTCGGTGTCGCAAGGTGGGACGTTTAAGCTTATGCCCGAAGTTTCCTGAGGATGTGATGAACTGGCTTTGGGAGTGGGACTTATGGTTTTTGCTACTAACTGGAGTTGGTCTCCGATTTTGGGCTTTTGTTTCTTCATATATAATTAAACATGACCTATATTTACTGTAGGCAGACGCCCTAAAGTCTTCGGGGAGGTCATGTTCTTCAATTTCCAAAGTCGAATCAAAGGCGTTTTGAACTCTATTCCAAAAGTTTTCTAGGCTCTTGTCTTTTATTTTCAATACGGACTCAGTATTTTCTTCGTTGGGGGCTGATCTAAATCGGGCGCAGTAATCCAACAAATTCATATCCGATATGAATTTAGTACAGATGACCGATTGTTTTGCCTTTTTTGGCTTTCCGCTTGATCGCGTAGGGCGCCGAGAATTTTTTCTTCTTCATTCATTCTGGGACTTTTTGACTTATCTTCAGTGCTAGTGAGACCTAGCATTCGAAGTCGCAAACATTAAAGTTTGTATGAATCACAAGTGAGCACCTGGACTCCAAGAGAGTGTGGGATTTGAATCTAATAAGCCAGATAATTTTACCTTTTTAAGCCTTTATGAGGGATTTCGGATCACCGTATCTGGGACTTTCACGCTTGGTCCTGTTCACGAAAACCACAAATGGTGATATTTTGAGTGCAACATTTATAAATATCTATCTAATGGACTGTATTTTCTTTTTCCTAGCACTGTAACCGCCTGGCTTTTTTTATGGATAGTTATTATAGAGAGTTCATTGTACGTATTTTTATTTATTTTATATAGCACTTTCTCTCATATGCCCAATATGTGATAGGGTATGTGTACGAATGTATGTGTATATATATATATAGGGATTACTAAACGAGGGGTTAGTTATGTATTCCCAGCTATAATTCCTTGTATGTTTCTTTGGGATTAACTGATTAGCCGCTGTATATACTATGAGCTTTGGTATATGTGTATATCAATATGTACGCCAAGTACTATTTGCTTGTTTGCTACAGAATGTTATGTGAAGTACATATGTCTATGTATTCTTGCAAGAGTCTTTGTGTGGATAAAAAATTCGTGAAAATTGGCGCAAAAAAAAATAAAATTGGCGGGAAAAATGAAAATATGGCGGGAAAATTGAAAATTTATGGCCGGGGCAAGGCAAAATGTATTACGTAATGCTGGCGTTTCCTAAACATACAAGGAATTATTTTCTGCCTTTTTAAAATTTTTGTTTCACCGCAGGGTTAGTAAAAAATTGATTTTTACTCACGGTTTTGCTGGGGATACTTGTAATTTGAGGTTATAGATTTTTATTCCACCGGTGCGGCTCTTTGTTGGCGCCGAAGGACTAAAAGTAAGGGGCCGGCTCTTCTTTTGGGTGCTGAACTCCGGAGGTGGACAGACGGAGGGCTGGTGGGCGATTGCAGGCTGGTGAGGATGCGGCGGTTCGTTGCTGTTGGCCGTTGACTCCGGCGATGATGGTGGATTTGGCGATAGGGAAAGGTTTGGCGGTGATTTCGGCGGCTCTTTGATGATGGATGGTGACGATGGGCTATAATCGAAACTGGGGTGGTACTTGCGGTGGAGGGGCTGCTGCACTTCCGTGTAGGAGGACGTCGCGCAGGCGCTAGTTCGCGGCTGCTTCCTGGCGCATACACCAGCGACTTTCAAAACGAAAAATACTAAGAGGTGGAGTTTCCTCCGCGCGCCTGTAGATACTCGGCGAAAGACTAATATGACCACTCGAAATAATAAACCGAATGTTTATGCTTTAAATTTACAATTTT